TTTAAAAAACCTTTCCTCCTTCCTCCAGAGGTGTCGGCCAGCTTCAAGTTGGGAACGTCCGTCAGCTACACCTTCAAGGAGCCCTACGAGCTGAGCAGGAACAGCAGCGCTCTGCCGTCCTCCATCTACTCTGACATGACGCTGAGAGGAGAGAACGTCTCGCTGAGCTTCAGGACGAACCAGAGTCCTGCTCTGCTGCTCTACGTCAGCTCCTACTACAGAGAGTACCTGGCCCTGCTCATCAACAAGCACGGTGAGCAAGACGAAACCCTTCTTCCCTCCTTGAACCCTCTAAACAACAAGCAGTTCCTGCATGTGCTTGGCTCCTGTTGTTACTCACTGTAGGTTCATTTGTTCATCATGTTCATCATGTTTAACGTGACTTTCCAAGTATCCACAGGAGTTACTAATACTACAAAAAAATCTACTACTATTCTATGTACTAGAGATTTAGGTTTAGATAGAGTACTTGTTCATTTTTAATTTTCTAACCCGTATTTCTGATCTCCGCATTACAACAGCCTCGAGAACTTTTGTTAGTAATTGATGAATTGCTTCCCAGTTGTGCAGAATACAAAATAAATTTAGTGCAAGCAGTTATTTTGGGATAATTTTTAAACAAGACTTGTAGAATAAAGTGATTTTGATGAACCGTAACAATTATTAACTTATATTTACAGTTGTCCTCAAATTTATTCTGCCATTAAAGAAGTAAAAAAAAACAGCTGTCACTGAAATCAAATGAAATTGAGAAAAGTAATAATATTTTTTTTTTTAAATAATTACGAAAATCGTGATATTACTTTTAAATTGTGGTTCAACAGAAATATTTTTTAAGAAAAACAAAAACAAAAACAAAACAAGCATGATGGGACTCACAAACTACTATTTAGTTGAACAACCCTTTGAGCCAATCACAGCCATCAAGTGTTTTCTGTAACTCAATCAGACGTCTGCACCTGTTGACAGGTGTTCTGATTTTGACCCACTGCTCATCAGCAACGTGTTCTGATTCGTCCGGGACAGTTTTGTTTGTTTTTTAATTATTCTTTGCAACCACAATTCAAAAGCAATGTCTTCTTTCACTAAATTATAATTTAGCAAATTTTTTTATTTCTGATTCCTTTCTTCAGTTTCTAGTTATTTGAGTGACTCTTGTGACTCTCATCCCGTCTCCTTCGTTTTCCTTAACAGTACTTTTGCACTGAAACTTGCTCGTCTTCCTTATCAACAAGTTTCTTTCTCCTCTTCCTTCATTCATCATCTATCAAGTATTATTCATGTCCCACTTTTCTCGTTCTTCCTTCTGCCTGCTCTCTTTTTGCTGTTTTTTTTCTTATTTTCACTCCTCAACTTTTTCTTGTGACTTTTCTGGCTTTGACCTCTCAGCCTCTCGCGTCAGGATTTTCTCTCATTCTCTTTTCCTGACATCTTCTCTGAATATTGACCTTCTGTCCTGCTTCTTTCCTCCTCTGCATCATCAGAATCTGTCAGATCTTCCGCCCTTAACTCTGTCCAGCCTTGCCGGATAATGTGTTTTGTCTGAAACTAAAAAAAAAAAAAAAGTGTCCACCAGTATTATCACTGAGCCCTGATGAGAGCTGCAGCAGGAATAAGAGTTTGATGGGCTCCTAATGGGCGGCAGCTCAGCGCGCCGCTGAATAAAGCAGCTGAAAAGTTGCTGAAGTGTTTTCTAAACTTTTGTGTAAAATAATTATGTTGCGAGTTCGGCTTTTAAAAGTAACACGAAGCACTTTGAATTCAAAATTACATTTTCAGCATCCGGGAGTCTAATAAAATTGGCACTTTGCTGCTAGATTAGCTGTAAATGGATTTTTTTTGTGGTGCTAATGAGTCAGAGAAAGCTGACGGACAGCAGGGCATTAAGGTTTCGTGCTGACCGTGGACTCGTCAGGTAAATGGAATCGCACAATTAAATAGCTAAGAGCTCTCTCTGGTTTGGCCTGAGACGGCTCATTTCATTTTACCGTTGACTGCAGCTACACCTCCTCTGCCCAAACACCACTTCTTCACTTAAGGCCTCTTTTAAGAATACTTTCATTATTGGAGCAGTAGCAGGTAGCCGGAGGTCCTCGAAAAACTCAGGGTTTAAAATGATTTATTGTTTCTGACTTACACAAACGCTGTTGGAAAAGAGCGTTCTTTAATTTTCACTCTATTTTTAGCCGAAAATTTCCAACACGTCACAAGGCTTTTGTTAAATCTGCACTTAATGCGCTTGACTATTAGGAGAATTAATTAGATTTAATTAGATTAATTCTGTTATTGATAGAGAATTAGCTCTTATCCTCTTACTATAGAAATCTTAATTAATAGAGAAACCACCTCTTCAGATTCATATTTGCAGGATTAAAAGTGTGTTTACCCTTTTGGCCGTGATTATAGGACACAGCAAGGCCGTTTTCAGGAAAAGCTAAAACTTTGCCTCAAACTTTGAAATGATGATGATTCAAACTAAAATCCGTCTTTCTGACAGAACAGCCTTGAACGCCGTCTCCTTCTTTTGGAGATCTGAAATGAAGCAACATGGTTTGATGTGTGTTGTGTGTGTGTGTGTGTGTGTGTGAAGATAAGCTGGAGGTGAGATACAAGCTGGACAGCAGCAGAGATGCTGAAGTTTTAAAGAGCAACGTGAGGAGTTTGGCCAACGGACAGCTGCACACCGTTTCCATCAGGAGACTGACGGACTCTGTGTCAGTTCAGGTAAAACCACCTCGTCGCTTCATGAAGCAGTTTTGGTGAACACCGTACACATGCAGGAGACACAAAGCTTCACAGAAACACCTCTGGGGTCTCGTTTAAGGCTTTCTTAAACACCTAATCCGGTTTTCATTCCTCTTTTTGCCTTTTTTTTTTGGCTCTACCAGTTCCACAAAACACCGTATTTGCTTTTTCCTTGCTGTGTAGCTGCTCACTAGCTCTGCCTGTCTGCTGTGTGATGCTGAGCAGCTTTTCTGGGTAGATTTTCTGTAAACTATTTGCTGCCCTGAGATGCACTGAATATGCTTTAAAGATCCCATATGGTGAAAACCCTTTTTTTGTGTTTGTTATTAACTTGGATGTCTCAAGTAAAAGCCGGAAAAAGTCGTTCACTTTCTCAATTCATCTCCCACAACACTGCAGTCGTCCTCATATTTATTCATACCCTCCCATTAAAGAAGGCAAAACAGGCGTCACTGAAATAAGCTGAAATTGACAAAAGTAATAATAAATAAATAAATTACTGAAAACCATGACCTTGCATTTGAATTGTGTGATTTTGACCCACTTCTCATCAGCAAAGTGCTCTAATTGGTCTGGGACAGTTTTGAGTTTTTTATTTTTTTAATTATTCTTTTCAACCACAATTCAAAAGCAACGTCTGATTTCACTAAATTATAAAACAACAAATTTTTATTTATTATTACTTTTTCTGTTTCTAGTTATTTGAGTGACTATTCTGAATTGTGCCTTTTCTTTAATGGAAGGGTCTGAATACATTTGAGAGCGACTGTACATAGCTTCACAAACCAGTGAGTATTTTACTGAGCTTCTACTTAAAGTATTCGATTTGGAACGCAACCAGAGAGAGTCTTCTTCCTGAAGGGGCAGCAGCAGCAGCTCATCTGTATTTAAGCTACAGACACTGATACAGTCCTGATCGAATGCACCATCTTTGCAGTATTCTGAAAGACACATTCTGGGGACATGCGTGTGTTTCATAAGTTTCCCAAAAATGTACACAATGTTGGACCTTTAAAGGCAAAACATTGAGCTAACTTAAAGCCAACCTTAACGCTCTGTAACTCTGCAGAGCTGAATGATTCTTTATGATTTCAATTTGTTCAGCTGTAACGTCCAAAAATATCAATTAATGCCAATTTAAAGACAGAAAATGGACACCCATCAGTACAAAGACATCTCAGAAACATTTCTCTACTTGTTGGCTGGTTGTGGTAAAGAAATGCAACCTGAGTAGCTTCTCTACATGTTTTCAGTTCAAATATCCGTCTGACTGAACACTACACCAGGCGTGTAACAGCTGTGTAGAAGCTATGACCTGTGAGGGCTTTTTGTGCATGCTAATTCATGCACTGTATGTTGGCATGTTTTTTTACTCCTGCTGTATTGATGACGTTCTGCCTCCGCTGTGAAGCTGCTGCAGACGAAGTGAAAAGCTGCTTGACATTAACTTTTTTTTTCAATGTTTACCAATGCTTATCTCAAGGGCAAGTGAAATGACACACATATAGCTGTGCACTTAGGCAGTTTGTGTGTGTATTATGGTACAGTATTGTGATATTACTCAGTGCAATAAAACCGCAGTCAGCACTTGAGTCTCCCCTGCTAGCACCTGCCGTCCTGGATGCAACTGCAGCAGGGCAGCAGGGACGCATTAAAACAGCCACAGATGAAATATGAAGCATCTTAATCGTACCTGGATCTAACCTCCTACCTTGTTAACAATAGCTTCAGATGATATATGAGGTAAATTTTATCTAACCAGAAGCCAGCAGCCTGAATGTCTGTATAATTATCAACACCGTGAGATAAATAACAAGGTGACCTCGGCGCAGCCTTCTGATTCACTGTGCTGTGAGGCCCCAGTGAAATATGAGGTGCATCTCATCTTATCAGTTTCCATTACGCTGAACTGCTGTGTCTTTAGCAGTGCACAGGGAGGAGGGCAGCTTAGTGTGAAGAAAGACGTCTCGGCAACTATTTTTAACAGATTTCCATAAAATTGGAAATGTTTTGGTTCCAAAACATTTGAACTCTTATGTTTGGAGCACATCTATGCCTCCCTCAGAATAAATTTTTCATCTCTTGGGGACTCTTTGAGATGTTTTTCCTTCTCGTGCCCCCCTCAGACCAACGTTTTTAAATAAAGGTTACTGACCACTAGGCAAAGTAAAGAATGTATAAATCACACTTACAGGCTTAAACAACTCAAAACACCGTCTCTCCACTCAACTAAGCTCTGGAAATGTTTTCCTCAGATTGACCAAAATGCCAGAGAAGACTTCAACCTGACATCCGACGGAGAATTCAACGCCATCAAGTCCCTGGTTTTGGGCAGAGTGCACGGTAAGTGAGGAGGCCGGGAAAGCAGAGACAAAACCCTTTCAGTTAAAGAGCACTCAGACTCACACTCATTTGAATAACAGCTCTGAGACGTCTGGCCTCATTCAACTCTCAGCTCAGGAAAACTTAAGTGAATGTAGCAGCGACTTTAGCATCCAGGTGGATCCACCCACATGAGTTAGCATTCTGCTATGCTTGTGTTTCATTTCATAAAATGTTTGGGGTTAAGAGTTTTAGCAGTAAGTTCAAGTGGTCATACAGCTGCTGCAGGAACTGGTGTTCAGCTACTTCTGGTATCTCATTTGGAGAAAATCACAACCTTAACTTCTTAACTAGACAGGAAAAATGATCAAATATCTGGTGCAGAAAGGCACGTGTTACTGTGCACCGGTCAGGTTAGTCTATTTAATCTTTAGTCTTTATTTATTTATATGTAAATTATTTATTTATGTGTTTTTTGTTATTGTGCAAACATTTAAATGATTACCCTTTACATTGATCAGTATGCTGAATTCACATTGATGTGGTTAAATTCAAAACGAACCACTGTTAAGATGGTCTTTGTAAAAAATACATTATTACAATTTATCAAGAATTATTGATAGGGACAGAAATTAAACATTTTATATGATGAATCATTTCTGTGATGGTGCCCAGCCCTGAGTTCCTTTCCTTTAAATGCTATAAACCCTCGGATTAGCCAGCTACAAAACATGAGCGCTCCAACAGTTCTTGTGGCAAAGACTGCACCAGAATTATTCTTTTTTTTTATTGTGTTTCCAACTTCTCAGTGCATCTGCTCTTTTGTAGCCTGGTTCAAAGTCTCTCGTGAGGATTAATAAACTCGACACACACTTTATTTCCAGTTTATTAGGTGCAACTAGCTAAAACTAATGCAGCCGAAAATAACAGTCCTGCAAAACAAATGCTGCCTTCATGGAGGATATGAAGGAACTTTTCTGTGTGGTAATGTTGGAGGATATAGTTTGTGTTGCTGTTGAACTGAATTGCATTATACATGCAGATTTATCTGTTGTTTTATCTGCTTCATTGGGGGTAAATAGCAGATGCAGTAACCATGCAGTTCTCTCAATACTTCTGGAAAAATGTCTCAATAAAAACCAACATGAACATCATTAAGGAAGCATTTAAATAAATACAGGCATTTGTCAGTGCTGCAGTCTATGCAGTTTAAATGTACAGTCAAAAACTAGATGAATCTAAATTTTGTTTCATCCTGCAGCTTTGTGCATATTTTGGTTGTAAACTAACTGTCAAAGGAAATATATTGCACAAAGAATAGTAGTTAAGCATCAGTTAATGGGTGCAGAGTCACAGTAAACTACAACTATGTTTCACATTTTCACAAATTGGGGGAAATCTGGAAAATAAGCACCAGAACTTGGAAGTACAGCCCTCCTTCCTGTAGCTCTGCGTTTCCGCTCTTCTTCGGAAATCCCTCCCACCAGACTTCAAACATACGGTAATTCAAACCTCCTTCTCCTGATAAAAGTTCTTTTTCTTTCCACTGCACAAACACATCCTCTGCCAGCTTCTCTCACCTGATCTGGGTGACAAGCCTGTGATTGGCTCGAGTCTTTAGTCATAAGTAAAATCTAAAGGAGGTGCAGAAATCTGGTTTCCTCTCAGGTCACTTGAATTACAACACGCTTAAAAGGTTATTATGGAATTTTTGTCCCGATAACATCAAAAAATAAATAAACAAACTGCCCACCACAGCTTTAAGCCTGAAGAAAAAGTCCTCGCCCTTTGGGAGGCTCAAACTCAATCTTCATTGAGCTTCAGTGTGCAGCTCCGGACATGGACCTGTAACCGTGTTGGACTGAGACAGTAATTGGCTCTGTCATGACTTATTCATGTTCTCTCTGAGCGGCTCCATGAAAGACGGACTGAGACATAAGCTGTTAATAACACGAGGGGCTGAGAGGCTGCAGTCACACCTCTGTGATAAGACGGAGTCACAGCAGCAGCACACTGTGGCTTCAGAGGAAACACTGTGGCTGTTAATGGTGAAACACGAGGTCGCTTTTTGAAATAGTTTTCATCGGAGGCATCGATGCTTCATAATGAACATCAGAAAATTGTTAATTTTGCACAAAGTATACCCAGTGTACTTGTTTTACCCAAGTGACCCTTTACTAGATTTTTTAAAAATCTATTTAAGGTGTAATTCCACAAATGGATGCGTGATTGTGCCATTTTTAAGATACTTTTTAATCTCCTCTGCCAGTGTTGTGCAGGTGTGTGTTGCTCTGCGTTGTGCACTGGAGCAGGAATAATGGGATCAAAAGGCAGTGCTGGGGCAATACTTTTTACTGGCACTTCCTGTTCACTTAGATAGATATACTCAGTACCAACAACTTGTAAAAAAAATGTGAAAGAAAACTGCTAGCTCACTCACACTGTATGTAAAACTCATCTGAAAGTGAACATAAAGCTATCAAACCTTCACCAGACATGAACTGGATGGAACAGAGTTAATATAAAATAAGGTTACGTACCATTCATATCCTGGGAACAACTTTGCAAAACACATTTGTAGATCTGCGTCCAATAAAATGTGCAGATACACACAGGTGGCGATGATGATAAACTGGCATAAAAACAACCAATTTGGTAACCAGACAATAATATTTTGTCACAGAAATTGTAATTACTTGTATCTTTGGCCACAGTTTTCTATTTTGAGCACAAATTTGTCTTGTCTTTGGATTTTACAACAAATCTTATGTTACAGGTAACTAAAATTAACAATACAGGTGTGCGTTCCACACATCTTATGGCACAGCTGGTATCAGTTGTCTCAAGCTCCTTTGTGTTTTCTGGTGCCCCAGTTTGTGTTTTGACCTGTTAGCATGTGACCGGTCATCGCCTCTGTCAAACCAGAGGAGGCGGAGAGTCAGATCTGGATCAGAAAAGCAGCAGGAAAGTAGATTTTCCGTCGTCGTCCTCCAAACCTGTCATCCATCAGCCTAACTAATGGAGCCAGAAGGAATGCAGAGAGACTACGAGGGGGGGAGATAGGGGGAGATCTGGGGAGAGAGGTGATGCAGTGAGGAGCTGCCACGAGCTTCCAGGCTGCAGAAACGCTTCCTGCTGCTCTCATCAACATGCAGATGTGTCCCGGTAAAAAACCACAGTCACCTCTCAGTCATCTGCACAGACACTGATGTGATGTTAATGTCGGCTTTCACAGCTGCTGTTTACGCCGCTGTGAAGGAGCGGAGGTGAATGATGGAGGGGTCTGAGTCAATAAAATGAACAGATAGAGGTGCGGAGTGCACATCTGTCTCGCGGAGTGATGGATGCAGACTGTGCAGCTGAGAAACTGACAGTTTGTCCGTTGCATTGAAAGCCTGTGTGAGGTTATGTGTGTTCTATGTAGAATCAATGAGCTGCCACTATTGTCCCACTCTGATAACAAGGTAATGTGAAGCAGAATCGATGAACCTGTCGGTGTGTGTCATGATTTACTGCGCAAAATCACCCAACTGGTTGAGAGAGCCAGCCTCTTAGCAAAAGGTTAAAAGTTTAGTTACCGGTGCAGACAGATGGAGCTTCGTTTTTCAGTTCTTTCTTTGTTAATTAAAGCTTACAGCTCGTAAAAGTGTGCTCTGAAAAGCAGACTGTGAATAATAATTTTCTTTAAACTCGAGGCCGCCTGCTTTCCTTGTAGTGAAGTGATTTGTTTACATTTTGGGAAATGGAATTATTTGCTTTCTTGGTGAGATTTAGAAGAGAAGGTCTATACGACTGTCATGTCCATGTGGTAAAAATGAAGCTAGTTAGCATGGTAGCTTAGCTTAAAGGCTGGCAAAGAGGTGAAACAGCAAAGCCTGGTCAGGAGACACCTGCACATGAAATGAGTGAATTTAAATGACAATAATTTGTCAGACATTTGGCAGCATTTGAAGGAAAAGTCACGGAGGTCAAAGATTGACAAATGGTGAATAATTCCCTGTTTTAGATGTTTCCACATATTTTCACAACGTTTAATGTTTTTACCAACACAGTATTCCACTGCTTTAAAACGTAGCTCTGTGGCCTCCTTGCTGACAAATTTTTTTTGGACATTTTTTTTTAAATTTATATACAGTGAAAGGTATTATTATTATTATTATTATTGTTGTTGTTGTTGTTGTTGTTATGTGACACAACTGAGTGGTTTCAATAGATTCATATTTATCACACAGACACAGGAGGTGTATCAACCTTCTAAATGGACTGTCATCAAGAAAAACACATAAACATGTGATCCAAACTGTCAGATGATGCTTTTGATAAATTGGTGACACCTCACTGTAACCCAGCCTCTAATGCAGTCGTATGAACAACTATGGATCAGCCTGTAAGCCCATTATAGTGAAGACTGCTAATGAACTGATAATGATGACAATATGATATTAAGTGTTTTCAGAGAAGTTCTTATTCTCCAATAATAAATGCTCACAACTACAACATGTTGACAAACCATGTATTGAATCAGAATCACAAAACTTTATTGATCCTGGAGGCGAAATCACAGTTGCTCTCATTCAAAGTTGTAGAAATTTAAGTAGAAATATATGTCCTAAAAAATATAAACATAAAGCATGAAATGTAAAATGTCCATTGTTGTAATAAAATAAAAATACAGTCTAATGTTATGCAGTGTTTATTACCAAGTGACTGTTACTTGATTGTAAAGTTATTGACAATTGAATTTTAATATTCAATTTGTTTTAGTGTCACTTTTTAGATTGGACTAGAAAGAAAAAAAACATCTGTAAAAAGTGGATCACATCGTCACCAGTGAAGCTATATCTCATTTTCTTCTCAGAGTCTGATGACTTGGATCCGGACCTGGCCAGGTTGGCGTCTCTCGGTTTCGCCGGCTGTCTGTCGGTGGTCCAGTTCAACACCATCAGCCCTCTGAAAGCAGCTCTGCTCCACCCGGACACCAGCCCCGTCATCATCAGCGGACCTTTGGTTCAGTCCAACTGTGGCTCTGCAGCTTCAGCCAATCCCCACGCAGAGGAGAACACACACCACCTGTCAGGTAGGAGGTGGAGGCGTCGGGTCTCAGCGGTGTGATTGTGTGGTGGTGAGGAGGGTTAATGTCCACTGCTGTCTGCTGGTTATTAAGTTTGAGAAGGGATGTTTTCATTTTACGAGTTTGTGAGGAGTTTAATGTTTCTGGTGGAGCTGTGAGGACGTGGAATTGGAGATCATTTTCTGTTCTGTGATTTTTATGTCCTCACACCACAGTAGATGGTTTCATAACCCCTCAGTGTTTATGTAGTGTTTTTTTTGTTTGTTTTTTTGTACAAGTAGTTTAGTTTTGTTGTTGTTGTTGTTGTTGTTGAGGCGGTGGTTTGTGTTGGTAGCAAGTTTCTTGACCTGCGTTCGGTCTGAGGTCAGTAATAAAACCATGATCAAGGCAAAGCTTCAAACTGCCCAGAGGCCCCACAACTCGCACTTTTACTGTTTAGTTGTTTTTGGGGTTAATTCAATTCATGACAAAGCTGTTAAGGGCTACTTTATGTGTTTGAATTTTAGATCAAAACACAGCAATGAGAAAAAAGTCATTTGTTATTTTACACTTTTTGTGTGCAATTAGTGTATAAACATGTGTATCTTAATAATGATATTATTGAATTTATGGAACAAGTAAGTAAAGCCCAGCTCTACTTTTGTCTTATTGCTGTTTCATTCTGTTTGCAAATAAAAGTAGGAAAACCTCATTTTTTTTACTTTAGCATACTTTTAGAAGGCTCTGTAACTAAATATAATTTGCAGTTTATAAAATTTGAACAAACTAACAGCCAAAGTCTTTAAAAAACACACAAGTCAGTCATGCTTTTAGATGGCACAGCATAATGCAGCATAAAAACTAAATGACAACTTCCAAGTTAACTGTGAAACTGTTAACTTGGAAGTTGATAACTCAGGTGGTAGAGCGGTTGTCCTCTGATCGTAAGGTTGGCGGTTCGATTCCCGCCCCCTCCACAGTCGAAGTGTCCTTGGGCAAGACACTGAACCCGAAGTTGCTCCCAATGGCAGGCAAGCCATTGTCTCATTGTCTGTTGGTGTATTAATGTGTGTGTGAATGAGAAACACTGTAAAGCGCTTTGAGTGCCGCAAAGGTAGATTTTCTTTATAAGTGCAGACATGTTATGTTCAGAGGCAACGCTTAATGGACTAATGAAGCGTTAGGTTTATGTATCTCATTAGAGTAGCAGGGAGGTGGTTGGGGTGGATGGTGGGCGAACAAAACACCTGAACACAGATTTAACGTCCTGCATCCTGTCTGTGTTCAGGCAACAAACGCAATTTGGTTTTTGTGTCAAAAAAAGAAGACCTTGGTCTTTCCCTAAGCTAAACAGAGTGATGCCAGTGCCTAAACATGACCATTAAAAGTCCCTAAGAGTGAATGTTGTCGTGTGAAATTGGATATTTTGGTAAAGTAACATTTTTGAGACATGGCAGATAATGTTGACATGTTATAAACCCTATAATAATCCCTGAGGTGTCACAGTTCAGACACGGTTCCTTTGCTGTTGTATGTATACACATGCATATGGTTGTAAATCCTCCACCCACAATGCATCATTCCAGCAATCAAGCTGTAATACATTGCAGCTCAGAGACGATGTGACGTTCAGAGGATTGGAGGTAAACGAGGGTTCAGCAGTGCAGTTTTGCCACAGGTCATGGATCTAAAGTTGCTTTAGTAATAAAGTAAAGCCTATTTTTATGCACTGGAAATAATTGCCTGGCCATGTGCGTATGTGAATCACCCATAAGGCTTTAGTTAACAGCAGATGGGAGTTCAATTCATGCATTAATATTCACTGAGAAACATTTTAAAAGCAGTTATTCGGAGGATCATTTGCCCTCTCATTTTAAATGTCACAGATGTTACCGTTGCCCAAAAAAAAACAAACAAACAATCATTTCAGACCCATTCAACATTAGGTTACATGTGTATCGTAGGTTGGTTGAATGGCGAACAAACAGAAAACTAAAGTTAGATGTCGATGAGTTTTCCTGCCGCTTTGTTCCTGTGTGTTTCTGTTCATGCCGGGAGCTGCTTTCTCAAGCTGTATTACGGACTCATTAAGTATGTACACCTTGTTGAGGAGACAAATGACAATGTGCTTGATAACATAATTAATTTGAACCACAGAGGGGAGTTTCCAGTGTCACTTCTTTCCTCCGGTCTTGTTCTCATTCAGTTTTATGTTCCTTTAATAGAGTCCTTTGGATTGCCTCTGTAGTGTTCCCTCTCTGCTCTAAATGATGATGGTGTGATTGTGTCTCTAAATGTTCCTCCTTGTCTGTGACACTGCTCTGACCTCTTTATTTCCTCTTATTTCCCTTTACTTTCTTCTCCTGTTATGTCTTTTTTTTAAAACATAATTTCTGCTTTTCTGTTATACTTCTGAACATCTCCTCTTTTGATTCTTATTGCGCTTGATTTCTTTTTCATCTTCACTTGTGTCTCTTTCTTCCCTTTCCATTCCTTCCTTTCTCTGCTGTAGATCAGTCTGGTTCTGTGGGTTCAGGTCAACCTTTAGTCAATGCCATCAGGACTGACTCTGCTCTCATTGGAGGTACAGTGTTACCACGTTTCACCTTTCTTGTTTCACTGTGTTTGGATTGAACTTTCAGCACGAGGAGATGTTCTGCAAAGGTTGTTTGATGGGCACGACATTCTATCAAAAGCAAATGTAGTTTTTCCTTCTTCTGTCTTGTCAGATTGGTTCCAAATGAGGCTCGTTTGAATTTTTTTCCTATAAAAATGTAGATAGACAAAAGCGAGAGAGTCGAGTCATTTAAAATTGTCTGTTAAATCTTTGTGGCTTTGTGTCTCAGTGCACAAAGGACAGCTGAACTAATTAAACCTCTGCCGAAATGACTTGCTGATGGAGAAACTTTCGCAGTGTTATCTTCAAGCGCGTAAAAGTTTTAAAACCGAGCTAATATAGTGCGAAATTGATTTTGGCTGTATTTCGGAATTGCAATTAGATGAAAGTTTCTCTGAGTAAAGAAATGTGCCGAACAGAAGGGTCCAGCTGAGTCCACATGTGTGAAATTTTGCTCACTGTGTGTTGAAGTCAGATTACAGAACAACCAGACTGCAGGGCAAATACCCAGGAGAGATGAGCAGGAACCCTGCTGTGACCTCGTCGATAGATTTACGAATGAATTACAATATGGATTCTGCTCAGTTCACATGTTTTAGCCCTTTTTCTGCAATATTGCAGTAATCTTTCTGGGCCAGACTTCTGAACATTTCAACACTTTTAACGTATCACTTTAAAAACAGTACAAGTCTGAGCCACATGAAAGCCCATTAACAGATAGGAACACAAAGTACACTTGCTTTGAGCTGTGTCAAATGATTTGGGGAAGACTTTTTCCTCATTTGGGCACAAATACTGCTCAAAAAAATATCACAGAGAGCACAAAAGACAAAGGTTGCCAGAGGCACACACACGCAAAACTCTCTAAAATCACAAGTCAAATCAAGATTGTGAACTATTAAATTAACACTAAATTATTGTGCTAATCAATTAATTTGTCAGAAAAGTCAGAATTCTCTGATTCCAACTTCTTCATTGTAGATTCTTTTGGTTTCTTTACTCCTCTGTGACAGTAAACTAAATGTATAAAACAAGAGATTTCAGGACGTCACCTTGGGCTTATGGACTTCTTATGGAAGAGGAACAGTTATTTTTATTGTTGAACAATTGATTGGCTATTAGTTGCAGCTCTAGTTGCCACTTTCTAAGCTAAAACTAATGCAATCCAATGCAAAAACTAAATGCTACCTTCATGAAGGTTGTAATGTGCTATTTTTGCAGTGAGGTGCTGATTCAACTTTGTGATAACTTTTGGAGGATGTAGTTTGTGCCATTTGGTAAATTGTATTGTGTATTATTTTGTCCACCTCATTTATATCAATACTTAATTATAACATGAATGACCTCTGCGAACCAAAATGTCCACATATGTGAGACTGCATGTGTTCTACCTTACAGGAGTCATAGCTGTTGCCATTTTTGTGACTGTCACTGCTTTGGCGGTAGCTGCCAGATTCCTCTACCGAAGAAAAGAGACGTATCGAAACCAGGAAGTGAAGGGAGTCAAACAGGAAGACAGCCAAGATTTCTCTTTCAACAATCAGGTCGACTCCCAGAACGTCTCCACTGAGAACCCGAAAGAGTTTTTCATTTAACTGGAGGCCGGGTGAGCTGAGTGGTTTTTCTTTGGAGATGAGGGTGCAGATAGGAGTGCCCGGCGACGCCTCAGGACTTGACACTGCACTCTGAGCCCGTCTCACACTTCAATGGATGTAGTGGCTTCATGCAATATAGAATGCAAAAAAGGAACAGTGCACACAGTTTTGTCTTTTACTGTATAGTGTGTATATACTGATTCAAACAGTGCTGGACCTAAAAGATGTTAATATCCTTGTTTCAACAACTGTAAATATTAAAAAAAAAAAAATGTAAATGTTGGAGTAATGTCTAAAAGCATCTCTAGCTAATGTCACTCTGTCATCTTGAAAGGTTGAAGGTACAGAGCCTGGAAAAAGTCTGAACTGCCCGTGGAAGTTTTCTTCTTCTTTTTTTGTTTTCACATTCAATCATCATCAATTTATTTTGTCTTTTTAGACAAGAATTTACAAAAAAAAAAAGACTCTTTCATGTCAAAGTGAAAACAGATTTCTAAGTAATGTCAGTTAATTACAAATGTAAAATAAGTGATTGCACAAGTATTCACCACCTTTAAAGTGACTCAGATGAGGTAAATGGTCAGAGGTGCAGCCCATTGGGGCTAGAAGTTTAAAAAAAGTGAAATAGAGATCATCTGATTGCAGTGACTGTGCCTCAAGTCGTATAAAGACACGTGTATATGGAAGGTCCAAATACTGGTGAATAAGTACTCCTGGATATAACTACACCAAAAAGAGAAAAGAACACTAATCAATTCTGTAAAATGGTTGTCATAATTTATTTTAAGTCAGGGGATGGACACAGGAAAACCACCAAATCCATCTGTAAGAAATGGCACATGTGTAAATCTGCCTCAGACAGACTGTCCTCAAAACTCGGGTGACCGAGCAAGAAAGTGACGAGTGAGATTGGCCACCAATTAACACCTATTAACTCTATTTAACTCCTTTAAAGGAGTTAAGAACTTAAGTCGCTGACATGGGAGAGGCTGTTCATACAAAGACTGTTGGCTGATCTTCACTCGTCAAAGCTTTATGGAAGAGTAGCAAACAGAGAGAGCCACGGTTGGAAAAATCTTATATTACACTAGAGTTCACCACTAGGCATGTGAGAGACTCTGAGGTCAGCTGGAAGAAGGTTATTTGGTCTGATGAGAAAAATTGAGCTATTTAGCCATCAGATAAAATGCTAGTGGACACCCAACACTGCCACATCATTCCTACTGTGAAGCATGGTGGTGGCAGCATCATGTTGTGGGGAATGCTTCTCCGCAGGAGCCCAGAAATGTTTGTAAAGGGAGAATAAAATGAATGCAGCGAAGTATCAGGAAATCATCGATTACAACCTGATGCAGCCTGCGAGAGAACTGTAATATCAGTGAAGATTTGTTTTCCAGAAAGGCAATGACTGCATGCAGCCAAAGGTGCAGAATCTAAACCTCAGTCCAACTGAGCATTTGTAGCTGGAGTTTAAAAAAAAGGACTGTTTACTCACAGTTCCTGTGCAAACTGACAAAGCTTAAGCAGTTTTGCAACGAAAATAGTAAAGTTATAGAGTCCAGATGTGTAAGACAGATTGAGACCCATTCACACAGACTCAATACTGTTTGTAATGAGTAGATGGAAGGGGTTGCGTCCTGTAAATACAGATTTATTTTACCTTTCTTCTAAATTCTTGTTTAAAAAGTCACATTAAATTGACCATGATTCAGTGTTGAAAGGCAATAAAAGTGGAAAACTTCCAAGGTGGTGAATACTTTTTTCTAGGGAACCAGATTTTGGTTTGTATGACTTTATTTATCTTTATTTCTTTGTTCTAGTGAATCAGGGTGCTCGGAGTGATTCGGCTGGTGGCACTTTTTCCTGAAAGTGAGAAATGGATGCTTAATTTGAAGTTGACATGTTCCATCTTTAATCAGGCCCTCAGGAAGAGTTGTTTTTCTTTTTTCTTTTTGTAAGAGCTGGTGTTTGTTCATGTGTGATGCCTTTTTATTATATGTGCCACTCTGGGGGAGTAACTTTCACCTGTGTGAGCTTGTACACTTGCTCAATGTCAGAGTGCATTCAGCCAGCAAACATCCATAAAATACCAGGACGATGTATGATTTTCTAACTCCAGGCAGCAGAGGAATTCAACATTTTGGTTTTCTTGCAGCAATCTTGTACCACCGCCCAATTTTTCAGGTGGCATCTTCAGCATCGTCTTGCTGTCTCCGATCACGCACATGGCCATGAGCACATCTGTGTCGGTACAGACCTGCAGCTACTGGTTGAGATATTTTTACACAGAAGGCATTGATTTTTTACATCATTTTTGTTTTTTCTTCCTTTTTGAGTCTTTTGTCTGGTGAGTGCACCACAGCACTGAATTAGTTTTTTTTTTTGGTTTCCTTTAGTTTGTGAGCTTTTTCTGAAAAGCTTGTGCAGGCTGTTCACTCTGTTATTAAAGTTTTTTCCTCCCTGCTGCATGCTGCCTGCTGGGAGCCTCCTCTCCCATTTCTCTAAATGCCTCCGAACAGCGAAGCTTTTAACACTGACAGCAGCACAGACGCTGTAACACTGTGGCTGTCTGTCACCTCGTTCGCCGCACGCAGAGACAGTTAATGTGTTTTTGAAATGCTAATCTGCTCTGATCTGACAGGTGGATTGTGGTTCGGCGGTAAGCAGAGAGAGAGCTGATGAGAAGGAGACGGAGAGATAATCTGAGACACCGTGTCAAGCAGACGTGGTTATAAAGAAAACACATTCTGATATTAGTGCTCCAAAATGAAGCAAATCCCTCCATGTGTTAATCCAGCTCATGTGTAAAGAGTGCTGCTGATAGAGCGAGGAGGAGACGCAGGGAGAGGATCGACGGCAGCTGTTTATCAAACACACCGCCGTCTCTCTGCGAGACCCCCAAAGCACAGATGGGATTTTAATGACAAAAGTTGCTAAATCTTCAAAGTGCATTATTCATCTCTTTCTTTGTGTTTTCTTCTCCCCCCCCCAACCTCACAACAGCTGAGGCCAAACATTGTTGCTTTGCCACATCCTTTCTTCCAGAGAGTTCATTCTTTGGTGAAGAAGACGTATCGACTGGCCTCCTTCCTGCAGCAGAAGCGACTGCAGTGCAGCACTTGATTGCTGAGAGGAACTCAACAGGTAACCTTGACAGCCAGATAATCTTTCAGACTGAGCGCGGCTGGAGGACACGCTGCATATGGATACAGCAAAATAAAATGTTTATCAGGATGCAGAGAAGAACGTTCACATGTTTCCCCACAGTGACCGCTGCAGAGTAACAGCAGCAGGTCGTCGACGTATACGCTGATGTTTGACTTTGTGTCACTGTGAGCAACATGTTTCCGTTTGTCAAACCATTTTCAGACGACACAGCAAGATCACAAGAGCAGTTTTATATTTGGACTTGCATATTTTCTTCTGTATCCTGAAAGTTTTGGTTGAATTCGCCTTTAAAGGATAAAATCCTGGTCGCACCTGAAGGTAACAAAGCTACACCAGTGAACAGTCATGAACATGAACAGTCAGGTTATAGCCGATCTGTCACCACAAAAATTACATCCATATACAAACTGCCTTCTCAAATATGTTGAACGTAATTTTGTTTTGAAATAAAAATAATTTGTGACCTTTGACATAGTGGGAAATAGTTTATTTGTATAGGAACCTAATTTCGTGGAGACTGGGTTGGTCATGGAGGCTACTTGTGCTTTACATGTTGAAGTATCTCAAAATTGATTGTTTCTTTCAGATTTTTTTTTACCAGAAATGTGAACAAACCCAGTCAGATTTTTCAGATCAGACCAGGACCACTGGTATATGTGGTCCTAGATGTGATCCATATCAGATCTATGCAGCAACTGTGAGAACATTCAGATCAGAAGTTTTTTAACGTGCACATATTTCTTGTCACCACAGTTCAGTGTTGGAACTCTGGTTATGTTGAGGAGGACTGGAGGCTGGATTACAAAATGCTCGTTTATTTGAGTAAAAGCTTCTTTATGTTGCATATAGCAGTAAAGTTTTCCTAGTTTCTGCCAGAAGATATTCAGAATTTCTACATTCTTCTGCAAATTTAAGCATGAAGAACATGTGCATTGTCGTCCTTTTTCCCTTGAGTCTTTAGAGACCATGAGCAAACAGCACTCTTACTTTAGACTTTCCAAATGTTGTGAATCGATCATTTCTGATCATAAAGAGTCATTTGAGGTAGTTTGCAATGCTTAAAATAATAATAATAATAATAATAATTAATTTTACATTTTGCTATTTTTCCACAATTGTGTTTTTGAGATACTTTTTGAACCAGCCAATCACACAGAGTTGCAGTAACAGGATTTGGCTGTTACACCAAAATCGCTGCAGCTCACTGCTAACCATTAACAACACCTGCTAGCATGACTCAGTGTCAGTAGTGCTCAGTTACTTGCTGTCAGTTACTTGCTGTCAGTTACTTGCTGTCAGTTAACTTGCGTTTTTTGCACATTTGCTAATGTGGAAGTAATTTTGCTGAGTTAATCCACATTCCTCTAGAAGCCTGCCTCACACTTTTCTGCAAACAGTCATTTATTCATTTATAAAGTGGGAGATGCAATACAGCTGGTAAGCTGCTGTTGGCACTGTGAAGACAAATGTATGTTGGTTAACAGCCCAAACTGCCCAAATGAGCTGACGTAGCCACAAACATCTGCCTTTTTTACTGCTGGTGTGACCAGGTCTAAAAGCCGACGATGTTCTTGGATTTTCATTTTGTCATCAAATTCCATGAAAAGTAGAAAACAAACAAATATTTGTTCCGACTCAGTATTCTGTGTGCATCCAAAGCTGGATCTATCCTTCTGGTGCCGTCAAGCTCTGTTGTTGCCTAAAAACTGTTAGAACACATCAGTGAGCCACATTGTGCGCCGTGTTGCTTTGTTACAGTGAACACTGTAGTTTATTTTGAGTTACGTTCACCATCACGCTGCTTTAAATCCTCCCTGGAGCACATGTATACT